CTCCCTCCCTCCCTCCCCCCTCCCTCTCTGTGTCTGTCTGTCTCCATATTCATGTGTCGAGTAACTAGGAGGAGAGGGCGAGGGATGGGGCCAGCCAATGGTAGGCTCACCCAACAGGGTGCCACAGCAGAGGGACGAAAGAGCTGCATGCGGATCTGGAGCCCTGGGTTGCCAAGACATGTCCTATCCCACTCTATATGAAAAGCTGAAAGCAGTTGAAACTTAATAATCAATAGTTTAAACAATACACACAATAACTTGCTATGAACTGTGGCCATTTGCTGCAGATCTAGTGACTAAAATGTCTGTAGATCCAGAAAATCTGTTGAATGAGGAAACAGGCCATCTCAGGAGTAGAGAGGTCACGACAGAGAAGTGTGCCAACTTAGAGAACTGAACAACAATGACTAAAATAACAGTGAGATTTTAATAAGAGATAAATTACTTAGAAAATCCAAAGAAAATATACAAGACCCCTATGTGCCAGAGAGAAGCTGCAGGAAATCAGTGCTATTTTGAGGCTTCACACAGGTATTGTTTGATGAGTCATACATTTTGATATGTGCTCTGATTAGAAGTCAAAGGAATTGTTAAAATTCTCAACTGCCAATCTAATTGGTTATCATCCCTGAATTACAAAATCTCCTCCCCCAAGAAATGAACATATTCTTTTGTCAAGCCCCATGTAGCTGGCAAACTAAGAAAGCAAGAACTGTTCAGATTTTAGGAAATCATCTTTAATAATATTTCAGAAAAAAAGCAGAATATTTAAAACCTTAATCCTTATGTGCTTAGGATGTAAGAAATAGGACATTAAAATGAAAGAAATATTGTGCCCAGCTGATTTTATATCAGAGGTCTGAGGATATCCCAGATTTTGAAAATCTAGTGCATGACTTCCAGAAGATAATTCTAGGACTGGAAAGTATCATTAATAGTAAAAAGGTTTGCTAAAAATGTCATAATTTCATTTGATGATCAAAGCTTGTAAAACCAGAATGTCTAGGGTAGGAGGCTGCCCAGAAATTGCAGGTCTATTGATAAAAATAGGATCATCAACATAATCGGCAACATCCGATGAGGGATATGGCGCAAGAAGAATGTGTGTATGTGTGTGTCACACGGCTGCTCATCTTGTGATACACAAATCTAGAAGTTTAACAGCGATAATAAAAACACAACAATAAAAACCATTCAACAAGAAACCAAAAAAATGATTTCTGGAAGGTTTAAGAAGGAAAAAGAATAAATGTTGATCTCATCATGGTCCCAATGAATATGTAGAGTGTAAACCTCAAGTCAATCCACTCTGGAATCATTTAAAAAATGCAAGGTGGGGGGTTGATAAATTTGGATTTGGTGATGTGTAGATGCATTGTTTACATGTGTTCTGAACTGGCCATCAATTACATTTCTATTAAGTTTGGAAGGTAGACAGGTTTAAAGGTACAACTGATCTGCATGAAACAGGAAACTCAATAAAATTAACAGAATCTATTAAACCCAGTTGGTAATTTCTGATTCCAGTCAAATTTTCAGTGTGACTACTGGATGAATTAATCATCTTAAATGAATCAATTATTTAAGGAATTAGGAAATGTTAATTTGTTTCTATATTAACTTTTCTACTTCTATATAAACTAACTCTGGTTTATCTTTTATAAAGAACCTTACTTACCAGGAATCAAAAGCAGTTTGTCTCTTTGAATGGCTTGTTACATTACTGCTTTCTGCAGGCAATGCAGGTATTCTGTTTGAGGCACTATTGTCTAGAAATGTTCCTTCTGGGCGTGGAGATGGGACTATAAGAAGAAATGTAAGATTACACTGTATACATTTTCAATTATTTCTTTTTAAAAGCACAATAAAATGGCACATATTCATGCTTGGCAGAAGATTATATAGTTTACTCAACATGTGATATTGAAATGTGTTTCTGTTTATTTCAATGTTGGATTATGAATCATAATATTCTATCAGTGTTGAGAAAAGAATAAAGATTTAAAAGAAATTTGATTTCTGTAGTGTAGTAGAGGAGCTTTTAGTACATTAAGTTATTTTAGTGTCTTCAGTTGGAAGAAGATTATAGCAATTCATGTTCTGATAATTTTTGGTTTCAATCCATATATAATGTATTGTATGCATAGATATCAATGAAGATGATCTGGTTGCTGAATATGCTTTAACCAGAATGAAGAATTATTTATTTTAATCTTATTCATCTCAGATTTGAACGCTTACAAATTAACTTTCTTTTAAAACCGAAGAAAGTTTTGTAGAAAATTAATAATCATTGCTTTGCCCTGTGAAATTATTCCCAGAGAAAGAAAAATGACTGTAACCATTATTTTTTTTAAAATGCCTATAAAACCTGAATTTATCCAAATACAAAAGAATCACAAATGAGAAGGCAAGAAGATTATTCCTAATGTATCGGATTTTTCTGCAGAAAAATAATAAAACCAGTTGCTGATTATATTTATAGCAATAGTACTTAGACTTATATACTACAGCACACTCTAAATGCTGTAAATATTGCACCCAACAATCTGGATTCTAATTTTACCAACTTTGGAATGATGGAAGGTTGAATCAACCTTGAGCCTGTCAGGATCGAACTGCTGGCTGTGGGCAGTGTGCCTGCAACACTGCATTCTAACCACTGCATACTTTGTATTTATTTTCTAGTAACCATAATTTTTAGCCCAAGATCAATAAGGCCCAATCATCATATGTATTAAGAATTTGAAATATCATATCCACAGGAAATTGTTAGATGGCATCAAAATTAGATTAAATGTTTGTCAATATGCAAAACTAGAAAACAAATCATTTTAACAATTCAGTCCTTCTACAATATCATGCCATAATGATAGATGCATTTGTGGCTGAAAGTGAAGGTTTAGCAAAAAATATTATGTACCAGTGTCCTGCGGTCTTTATGTTGTAGATCAGAGATGTCAAACTCAAGGCCTGTGGGCCAGATCTGGCCCATGGGGTGCTTAGATATGGCCCGTGGGGCCATCCTGGAAACAGCAAAGGACGGGCCGTGGTGCCTCAGACAACAAAAATGGTGCTCGGCCCTCCCAATCTCTGTTTTCATTGGCAGAGTGTTGCAGGAGGCCATCACAGCAGAAAAAGACCGTTGGCTTACTTGAACGGTCGTTCTCTGGGCGCTGGGGGAGAGTCCAAGCATGGGTTAACACGGTCTATCTGCCCTATGACTGAGTATCTTTTTTCTTTGACCACGCTTCCCCTTTGCCTCTATTATCTCAGTTTAAAAACGAAGAACACTCCGTTAAGGACGCCTCCACAGATCCTTGATATCACCTTGAAGGTAATCCCGATTCTGGGCAGGTTTGGACTCTCCCGCAGTGCCCAGAGAACGTTCAGGTAAGCCAACGGTCTTTCTCCTAGGGGCTGCTTGGAGAGTCCAAGCATGGGACATACCCAAGCTATGATGTCCCCGGGGTGGAAAGAACTGTTAGAGTACGAAGCTTCCGCAACCCTCTGCAATATTCTTCGCCCCAAGGAGGCTTCAGCCGAGGCAAAGTTGTCTATCTTATAGTTACGAATGAAGGCTGTGGGAGATGCCCACGTGGCTGCCCTACAGATGTCAATGATCGACGCCTGGGGGGCCCATGCCGCAGATGTGGCTGCACTTCTCGTAGAATGAGCAGTCACCCAGCCCGGAACCAGTTTGGCTTGAGTCTCGTACGCCAGTTTAATAGCGGCCCGCAGCCAACGTCCGATGGTGTGCAATGATGCTTTTTGTTCTTGCAACCCAGGATGAAAGGAAACAAATAACGCTTCTGAGCGTCTGAAGTCTTTGGTCCTCTTGACGTAGATGCGAACAGCACATCTTACGTCCAACTTGTGCCACTCTCTTTCCTTGGGATGTGACGAATTGGGACAGAAGTTAGGAAGGATCACTTCCTGCAATCTGTGAAAGAGTGAATTGACTTTAGGTACAAACGTAGGGTCAAGTCTTAATATGATCCTATCCGGGTATATAATGCACAAGTCCTCCCTGACCGAGAGGGCCGCAAGCTCTGACACCCTCCTAGCTGAGGTGATCGCAACCAAGAAGGCTGCTTTGATGGTCAGATGTCGAAGAGATGTAGACTGGAGTGGCTCGAACGGAGCCCCCGTCAGCACACGAAAGACAAGCGGTAAGTTCCATGATGGGTATCAATGCACCGTAGGAGGCCTGATGTTCGACGCACCTTTCAGGAAGCTCTTCACCTGAGGGTGCTGGCTTAAGGTGTGGAAGGAACCCCTGGAGACAACGGTGGACAGGGCTGCTACCTGATGGCACAAGGTATTGGGTGCCAGGCCCTTATCCAACCCATCTTGCAGAAAGTCTAGCACCTGCGGAACAGACGCCTCTGTGTCTCGCAATCCTTTGTCTTGACACCATGTAGAGAACGCCCTCCAGGTGGCCTCATATATTCTGTTCGTTAAAGGTCTCCTGGACCCCTGAATGGTCTGGATGACCTTGTCAGAAAATTTCTGTTTCCTCAGGAGGTCCCCCTCAAGTGCCAGACAGCTAGTTGCAGCCACTGGGGCTCTGGGTGAGTTATCGCCCCCTGGCTAAGGGAGATGGTCTCTTGAGGAATCCTCCAATGCCTTTGTACGGAGAGACTGACAAGGTCCGCGTACCAGGACCTCCTGGGTCAATGGGGTGCCACAAGCAAGAGTTCTGCCTCCTCCTCCAGGAGCTTGGCCACAACCTGAGGGATGAGCGGAAGCGGGGGAAATGCATACAGGAGCCCGGGAGGCCAGTTGCATCTCAGGGCATTGGTCCCCTCTGCCCCTGGAGACAGGTAACGGGAGTAGAACCTCAGCAGGTGGGTGTTGAGGCGGGTAGCAAAGAGGTCGACCTGTGGTTCGCCGAACCTCCGCACAATCTGATGGAATATGTCCGGGTGCAACTGCCACTCCGAATGGTCTATTGATGGCCGGCTCAACCAATCCGCCTCCAGGTTGCTGGTCCCAGAAACGTGGTCTGCCTTGATGGAGAGCAGATGACATTCCGCCCATCTGCCCAGAGCCTCCACCTCCGTCATCAGTGATCTGGAGTGTGTGCCGCTCTCTCTGTTGATGTGGCCTTTGTTGCTACGTTGTCGGTGAGCAACAGAACGTGCTGCCCTACAACTTGGGAGAAGAACTGACCTAGAGCGAGCTGGGCTGCCCGGAGCTCCAGCCTGTTGATGCTGTGGGCGGACTCCCTCTGGTTCCACAGTCCCTGGGCCAGATGGCCCTGGCAATGTGCTCCCCACCCTTGTAGGCCGGCGTTGGAGGTTACAATGATCCTTTCGGGTTCTTTGAACAGACACCATCTTTTCACTGCTTTTGACCTCCACCAGGCTAGGGAGTGAGTCACCTTTGGAGGAACATGGACACGCCTGTGGGAATTGCTGTCCTTCGCTCTTTGCATGGGTAGGAGGAACCATTGTAGTTCCCTGGCACGAAGACGAGCCCAGGGAACCACTTTCAGGCATGAGATCATCACACAGTAGTTGGGATAACTGGACAATATGCACTGACCTGGATGTGCAGCAAACCCGCACCTTGTCCCTGAGAGTTCTCAGGTGCTCCGGGGACAGAAAACTTGACAAGAGTTCGAGTCCAGAATGACGCCCAGGTGTTGTATGTGCGTGGTCAGCTTCAGGTGGCTCTTCTTCAGGTTTACCGAAAAGCTGTGCTGTTGGAGAGTCCTGATGGTAGTCTGGACATCCCGCCGCGCCTGGGCCTGGCTGGAGGAGTGAATAATGATGTCGTCATGATAACACTCCAGGCGGATGGGACGGTTCCGGAGGTGAGCCGCTACTACAGCCAGTAGTTTGGTAAATGTCCTGGGTGCGGAAGAGAGTCCAAAGGGAAGAGCACGGTATTGATAGTGCTTCCCCTCGAAGAAGAACATCAGGAACTTCCTGTGAGTCGCATGTATGGGCACGTGGAGGTAAGCCTCCTTCAGATCTATCGAGGTTAGAAGGTCCCCCCGCCTCACACAATCCAAGATGGAATGGAGGGATTGCATTTTGAACCGCCTGTATGCCAGATGGATGTTTAGGCACTTCAGGTCCGGTATGGCCCTCCACCCCACAGATGCCTTGGGCACCAGAAACAAGATGGAGTAAAGCCCTTGTTTCTGCTGCTCCCTGGGTACTGGTTCTATGGCCCTTATTTGTATGAGATGACGGATCTCCGCCTGCATGAGCTCCCTTTTCAGGGAACTCCTGGGTGAGGGACAACAGATGAAGGTCCGTTGGGGAAGGGATAGGAACTCCAGCCGGAGGCCCGTCTGGACCGTGCTCAACACCCACTTGTCGGTGGTTATCTCCCCCCACCTGTCTGCGTAGAATTGCAGCCGACCTATGGAGGGATCCCTGTGGTGGTCACTTTCTGCGGCGGAAGTTCCTGGAATTAGAACCATCACGAAAGGGCTTTCGAAAGGAGTGTTGGTGTTGTTGCCTACCACGCAACCCGAAGGACCCCCTGTCCTGTGCCCTATTGCCCTGCTGGGAGTAGGGTCTGGTACACGAAGAGGAGGTGGAAGACTGGGCATTGTTCTGGGGCCGAAAGGACTGCCTCCGAAAGGAGCCAGGCCCTTTGCGATCTGACTTCTTAAGAGTCACAGGTAAGATCTTACTTTTGTCTTTTGTTTCTATAGTGAATTTGTCTAATGCCTCCCCAAACAAGAAGGGGGCAGAGGCCAGCTTCCACTTGGCCTTCATCTCTGTCTGCCAATGGCAGAGCCAGAGCAAGCGGCGAGAGATCACATTGGAAGCTAGCGCCCTGGACACAAATTTGGCTGCGTTCAGAGAGGCATCAGCAGAGTACTCGACCGCAGTGATAATCTTAGTGAGGTCATGTCTCCACTGTGACCTCCGGGAGGGGGGTTTCGCCCTCAGCTGCCTCAACCAGAGGAGCAAGGAACAGATGAAAAATGATGCAGAGGTGGAAGCCCTAATAGTCCAGGCAGCCACCTGGTGGGTCTTCAGACATGCCTTCTCTGATTTTTTGTCCTCTGCCTTGAGACCCTCCAAGAGGTCCGCCGGCAGATTCGAGTTAGAAGTAAAGGAGACCACCGGAGCGTCCACCACTGGAAGCTTCAGGGCCTCCTCCATCCTATTCTCTACAGCGTAGAGAATCTTGTCCCCCCCACTGGGGTTTGTCAGGGTCCCAGGTTGAATCCACTGCCTCTGAACCACATCCATGAAAAGGTCCGGGACCGGGATGGATTCTTGGGCCGAGGGTGGTTCCTTAAACAGGCCCTCCTTGTGATCCTTAGTGGAAGATGCCCCTGTAGCTGAACCCTTGGGAATAGAACCCAACTCAGTGGAGGCCTTCACTTTATGAAGAATTGATTTAAAGAGGGAAGGCTTAAAGAGGCCGGTGAATGCTGGCTTATCAGGGGAAAGGTCCTCGTCCTCAGACAGTTTGAAATCCTCTACCTCCCCTTCCTCTAGGGCGGACTCCTCCGTAGCGACTGAGCTGCTAGGAGATGCCGGGGCCTGTTCAGCCACCTGCTTGGGGCCTGCTTTCTTGGAGGCCACTGCCTTACTGTTACTTTTCTGCTTCATGCCCTCCGCAATTCCTTGAGAGATGGCAAGAGTTATAATCTCCCTCATCTCAGCGGAGAGGCCTGATCTTTTACTCTTCCTGTGATGAGCTCTGCTGGAGGCTCTTCGGCCAACGCTACCTTCAGAGTGGGACCCCATCTCCGAGGGAGGAATGCCCTGGAAAGGGTCCAGTTCCTCCCTCAATGAGGAGCTTGGAGAGTCGGGGTATCCCCAAGAGGCCTCAGGTGACGAATCTCTGGAGAGACTAACTTCAGATGAAGGGGAGCTGTTCTGCGGAGGGGAGACAGGGCCCACATCCACCCTCTGGTCAGGGACTGGATCAGGGATCTCCCTGTGCTCCGGGGAAGGGCCTTGTCCCCTTGATCTGGGGGAACCCACCCCCGCTTTGTGCTGCTTTGCACTGTCCCTCTTATTGCTCCCTGAGGGTCCCACGGGGCCTTTACTAGATGATCCCTTTCCCCCTTTGCTCCCTTTGGGTGGGGCCTCCACCCTGCTTCTTTTGGCTGGGGGCCCTGATTGTGCCTCCTGGCCCCCCCGAACCTCCATCTGGCATGGTGGCTCAGTAGTGGGGTTGTGGAGTAAGGGACTGGACCAATAGCCCAGGAAAGGACACGAGCCTGCCGGCAACAAATGTCCTCAGATCTGAACGAAGAGAGGGAAGCCCTGGAGACAATACCCTTCCTCCGGCCATGTGTCGTTGTCGGGTGGCTCTCTGCGGGAATCGAGGCCTGCTGGCGGCCCAGACAAGGCCTCGATGTCCTGGTGGCTAGCTGCTGGTGAATCAAACTGCTGCGCGTAAGGCTGAAGCTCACGCCTC